GTGTGTGTGTGTGTGTGTGTGTGTGTGTGTGTGTTCTGTCTGCAGGTTTGGAGGTCGTTCCATAAGGGTTCTGGTCCACTCCTGCACTGCAGCATCATGATGAGCCTGCTGAAGCCACCGGCTGTTTACCGCCACATCCAGATGGGGCTTCTGGACTCTGTTACCATGGTAACCCTGTAATCCCAGTTTGTCACCCCGGCGGTCAGGTTCTAGAAAATCAAGCGGCCCAGCTTTAATTTGCTGCCATGGCAATGCTGTGGAGACGCCTGTAAAATCACAAGCCTGTTGCTATGGTGACTCTGTAGCGAGCGGCTGTCGCCATGGGAACAACCAGGATGTTCCGCATTTTCGTGGTCCTGGGCTCAGTCTTCATGATCCTCCTGATCATCATCTACTGGGACGACGTCGGAGCCTCCCACTTCTACCAGCATGCCCCTGTGTCGCCGGGCCCCAAAGCCCCGCACCCCCCTCCCCAGCCCAACCCTCAGACTTCTCGGACCCCGTCCTTTCTGAACGACATCGATGCCTTTGTCAACCAGTTCCTGGAGCCGGGGACGGGGGAGCCCACGGACATGGTCCCCGCTGACGCGAGCAACCAGTCGGAGAAGGAGGAGCGGTACATTCCCCGGAGGGAGTGGAAGATTCACCTGAGTCCGATTGCAGCAGAGCTCCGTGACAGACAGGTTRGTCTGAATTCATGAGTGGTGTGTTGGTTCCTGCTGGGGTTTTAAAGTCCAAAACCCACCGTCACAAAGATCAGAGGTCTCCTCTGTGTGTCAAAAATGTGTTTGAAGCAGGGCCATTTATAAGGGTGCCCCTGAAGTGCCCCTGTCCTGTCACTCCTCTGGCCTTTGCCTGGGAGCAGTGATGGTGGCTGCAGTTCCACGCCCAAACACTAGAGGTGCTAATGAGTCAAACAGTAAAGTCCAGCATGAATCAAWCTTAGAAGTCTTCTCTTCTTTAAAAGATTTGAACAATTTTGCAAAAATATGTTTCAACTGGCAAACAGCTTCATTTTGTCACACGCTTTGAGAATATTTTATCCATAAAAATGCATGTAACATTAATAAGGACAATTTAAGGTTTTTAATTAAAGGGGCTATGTCATGTAAAATCAACTTTTTTTTTCAGTTTTATATCATGTTATAATGTTATCCTCTCATAAAAAAACATGCCCAGAGTCTTACTTTCACTCATTCACACGTTTGAGAAATCCTGTAGTGTCCTGAGGCAGCAGGCAAGGGAGCAAAACGACAGGTGGGGACTAGAAACGCCCTTTGGGACCATCTCAGCCTCTGGGCTGTGTCTCCAAGCCGAGCTTCCTCATCATGGAGCACCCACACACACACACACACACACACACACACCCCGCTCATGACTCCGGCAGGCTCTCAGCAGCAACAAAGCAAACAACTGGTGAAACTGAGAGTGAAACTGAAACTGTCTGCTGAGCTCCTAACACCACTTCTCACTCAGTGAAGCTCTTTTCAGATTCAAAATACCTAGTTTGAGGAAATGTATTTTCAGATGCCAAGTAAACTGCACCCCCCCCCGCACTGAAATGGGCGGGACCGAAGCGGAAGGTGGTTCTTAAAGAGACAGAGGCCAATTTCATTGCGTTTAGAAGAGGAAGTGATGAGAAGATCAGTTTATTTTCTATTTAAACATAAAAACAGCATTTTAATAACAACTAAAGGTGACTTTATGGTATAGTATTTAAATGTATGCCTGAGAAACACATGATATTGCCCCTTTAACATTACATTACATTACAATTGTTGGAGCATATGTGACCAGTTAAACTTGGCCCCTCTATGAATGTTGTGGCCCCTTGATTGCCCCCTACTCAGAATAATCCTAGATCCGCCACTGATTTGAAGACAGGAATAACATGACCACGAGTTTTATTTACGTCTCTTTGAAACAAGTCAAGTCTCTCCTGTCTGAGGAATGTTTGATTTAACTTGTTGGTAAATTTATAAAATAAAACATTTAGGAGCAGAGGCGGAGACTACTTCAGGAGATCTGCACCAACGACACAATGGCGTTTCCCGGCAAAAACCGCTCATTTGATGACATTCCCAACAAGGAGCTGGATCATCTCATTGTGGACGACAGGCACGGGATCATCTACTGCTARGTTCCAAAGGTACGCAGCGGGCCAAAGCCGCACCGCTCTGCCTGTTGCTCTGCAGTAAAGCCACTCTGTGCTCCTGACTCCAGGTGGCGTGCAGCAACTGGAAGCGCATCATGATCGTCCTCAGCGAGAGCCTGCAGCAGGAGGGCGTCCCTCAGAGAGACCCCRTGGCCATCCCCCCGGAGCTGGTCCACAACAACAGCATGCACTTTACTTTCAACAAGTTCTGGAAACGTTATGGCAAGTTTGCGAGGCACCTCATGAAGGTCTGTTTGGAAAATYTTCATACAATATACAGAAACATGATGCGTGTATTTAAAGTGATCTAAAATGACCACAATTATGTGATGTGTTAATTTTTACACTAAAGCTGAGCTCAGCTGTGACCGTACAGATGCTCTTTGTTGTTGTTTTTTTCTTAGAGGGTTTTGTATTGAAAACACAGTCAGGAAAGAACTTTTCTGGTCACTACCACAACTGAATTTGTCCAAATTAGACTTTAAAGTGCCTGTGACATCAAATTTTTGTAATATATGTGAATGDGTTTTTGGAAAGAGAACACTGATAACATATTGTAAAACAAATTTCARGCTGTTGAGATGAACAGTTTTTGAGATATTTGCATGTGAAGAAACAGGAAGTGATGTCAAAGGGGAAAGTCTGCATGTAAACAGAACGATGCTACAATAATTAGAGCATAATCTGATGTTTCTTTAGATTATTTTGAGTCACTATCAGAGTTGAAGAGTTTAAATAAGATTGTTTCAATAAACAAATACTAGAGTCTCTTTTCTTAAAGAGTTCCCCTTTGATGTCACTTCCTGTTTCACTTTGCTGAACCAAATTCAAGAGAAAATATGGCAGTTATGAGACGAAATGGGTAAAATCATGTGTATTATGCTAATTTTCTTAGATATAAATAAGTTTTCTTTGACTTTTTGTAAAAATTAAAAATCACTGCCCATTCCTAATCCACAGTAGAACCAATACATCCACTTTATTCCTGAGGGTGCTACTGTCYTGCTGTTTCCCCCAGTTTATTTCAGTTTAAACACAGCTAAACTAGAGCTAGAGTTTGTACGTGCCTGTCCTGCAGGATCGCAGGGGTCTCTGGTGCTCAGGTACAGCAGTCATAATGTGGATTTGATACATAGCTTACATGATTCACTGTTTAAACTGAATGCAGTCCCTGTTCTACGTGAACACACACTAAGGAACGTACCAGGGAGAGCACACGGTTTGGTGTCGTTTTCCTCGTATATCTTTTTCTTCCCACGCAGGAGCATCTGGGGCCTGGTGTAAAAAGATACCATGATCACATCTGCCAGCTGTTATCCTACCTTGGTGATATTTGCCTCCAGGTTGGATCAGAACCCCACTGTTCTCAGCCACAAAGCTGTCGCAGAACTAAAATACTCATTGTGAACAGATGTGCACATCTGGCTGCAGATTAGCCAGATCCCTCTGTAAACTGAAGCGTTTCAGTGTGTGTGTTTAGGATCYCTGCGTCCAGGTGCAGCTCAGGATTAATATTTCTCAGTGTTTTGACCACGTTCTGTGTTTGCAGGTGAAGCTGAAGAAGTACACCAAGTTCCTTTTTGTCCGGGACCCGTTCGTGCGTCTCATCTCTGCCTTTAGGAACAAATTTGAAACGCGCAACGAGGACTTCTACCGGCGCTTTGCACAAGTTATGTTGCGTCGCTATGCCAACCAGACAACACCACCTACCTCTGTGGARGAGGCATTCACGTCGGGCATCCGCCCCACTTTCTCCCACTTCATCCAGTACCTCCTGGACCCTCTGACCGAGAAGGACATGCTCTTRAACGAGCACTGGCGGCAGGTGTATCGACTCTGCCACCCGTGCCAGATCCAGTACGACTTTGTGGGCCACCTGGAGACAGCAGAGGAGGACGCTGAGCACCTTCTGCGCCTGCTGCGGGTGGACAATGTCGTGGAATTCCCCACTTCACACAGGAACCTGACAGCCAGCAGCTGGGAGTCTGACTGGTTCAGCACAGTACCCGTCGAGGCACGCAGGAAGCTCTACAAACTCTACGAGCCTGACTTCAGGCTTTTTGGCTACAACAGGCCAGACTGGATCCTCAACGAGTGATRCTCACACAGCTAACAAATAAATAAATAAATAGTTTAAAGTGAGGAAGACATGAAAAACTGAGACACGCTTTTCTCCTGGACTTTGCACACGTGATRCCTCATCCTGTCTTTGTTTAAACTGAATGTGCACAAATTTAATGATGACAGGAAGCACACTGATTATGAGAAGCTGGTGTTCAGCTCAGCTTTTTTTAACTGAAACACACAGAAAGGTCTTTGCTCTTAGTGTCAGTCTGTGCAAACAGGTGTTCATTCATTGTGTTTGACTCCACTCCTCTTGTTGAGTTGTGCCGACCCCCGTGCTTTTATCTCGTGCCATGTGTCCCCACAATCACATAACCTCACCTGTGCTGTTTGTTCGAGCACAAAAAAAATGAGCGGTAGACRGATCAATGTTTGAAAAAAAGCAAACCTCACACAGTGCTTCCCCTTAAAAATGACAACTTCGTAGTTTTCTTCTGCTTGTGGTTTAACTCGTGGTCTCCTTTACCTGCATGGTCTTTGGGACCACCTTTTTGAGTTGGAAGAGACGTACCCTGCAGCTGCAGGAATCTGGACTGCACTCAGGGGGGTCAATATGATGGATCAGTGCGCAGTAACGTGGTTGTTTCATGTCATTTTTGCACACACTTCGTAGCCCCCTGCTCCTGGGAAACCCCTCCCACTGCAGGATATGTCACTGCACAGGTTTTCTTCTTGCTGGACTCTACACTCCGGAAAGTATATACAGGGTTCCCACGGGTCCTTGAAATCCTTGACAGTTTGTGAATTTGGAAAAAATAAATATTTCAAGGCCCTGGAAAGTTTGTAAAAGCAGCCAAAAATTACACTTGTCCTTGAAAGTCCTTGAATGTTTTTTGGGGATTGAAGTTCTCTATTCACACGACTGATTTTCATCATC